ACTTAAGGGTCGCAACCCCCCCCCCCCCCAACCGGGCAATGCCGGGACTCCTTCACACCCCTCGATGCTTATCGCCCGCGGATTTAAACGTACTTTTACGACTGATTTTCCGTCAACGGGCATTGTGCACCCAGTACACTCGGAAACACGATTGAAAGCGATTGTTCTTTGCCGACAATTTCGCGGAACACGCGTTCGCTCGATCGCGACCACCGCCGCCTCGCGCTCCTCCCGCAAATCCCCTCCACCCTCTGTCGTCCCTTTCCTTCTGTGCTTCCGTGTTCCGTTCCGGGAATCGCGTTTGTTACGTCCGGTTTTAGCGTGTTCGCGCGACAATGAAGTGGAATCGTTAAAAATACGAGAGAATGCATTCGTGATAAACTTTTTGCACGTCGACGATGCGGATGAAGTTTTTCACGGAATAATTGCAAGCTCGATTTGACTTCTATTAGTTATTAACGATCATTGTCTTGGCAACAACAAGGATTCGGTGAATGCGAGATTTCTTTTCTACGCTTCTGCGCGAATGAATACATCGTATTGTCTTAGCGGGAATAATTAATTTAATCGATTACGCGTATGACATTGTTTTCAGACGCCGTTCTCTATTGTTCCGATCGTAGTTCAATACTCTGAGTTTCGTTCTAAAACGACACGTGCTTTTGCAAGCATTCAAGAAAGTGTACCATTTTTCCATTCGAAAGTCCATTTCTCACAGTTTGCAAACAACGATATTTCGTAACATGTAACTTCTATAAAATTCACACGTGACAGGCAAATTTAATCGTTAACATCTGCCTTTGATTTCATCTTGAAGCAAAATGGTTCGTTCGAGGCCATTTCTGTTCTCCATAATTTGGCAAACATCGCATGCGACAGGCACTGTTACGTCGCGAGTACTCATTTTACCGTATCAAATTAGATGCAAGAAGATAAAAGATAATGTTCCCAGGTGCAAGAACGGTAACGGTCACAACGGATCTCGACGTTTCCAACATAACCGAATGGATAATTTCACTTTCGTCGCGTCTTTACGGTCGTTTACCCAATGATCAACGTTCGAGTCTTGCCTGAACAGTCCGCCGGTACACACGCGAAGAGCTAACAGAATTTTCCGTCGTGCAAAAAAAGAGCTCGAGCGAATTTGTCTCGAAAGCGCCCAAGGCGCGCGAGCAATTAGAGGGCAATTAGAGTTCGCTGACTGAATGAATAGCGGCGAGCGATAGAAACCGATAGGGTCTAGCATTAAGTTTCCCGGACAACAATTTCAGGCCAGGAGTCGGCAGAACGATCCGATCTCGTTCATTAGTGCTAATGGTCGCGAGACGACGTAGGCAAATTTTTCGCCGGACCGAAATTACTGGCCCGCCTTGTCGCCGTTGCGCCGCGGCAGCGCCGGCTAAAGAAGTGCCTCGGTCCGTTGATTACAGCCTCTGCTCGGTCGTAAGTCATGGTTGCATCTACGAAACGCCTCTTGTCGCGCGACACGGGATACTTATCGCGCGGATAAATTGAATGCACTCTTAATACGGTTTCTTGCGGGGTACGCTCGACCCGGTGCCGCCTCGGACTCCCCCGCGGGACGAAAGAACCGCGCCGCGGGGCTGATCGACGCACGATAAATTAACCGTAGACAAGGGAAGGAAGATTGATCGAGCGGGATCGGGAAGTCGAACGCGCGCTCGGCCCCGCTCTTTTTCACCCTCGGCCCAGTTTTTCCGTCTCCGGCCCCCCCGGCTCGCCCTGTCCGTATTCATCCGGAGGAGCCAGCCCGTGGTCTCGCAGACACGGTCGAATTTTTCGCCGCGTCGTCGCTAGAAACGTCTCTATTGCTTTATTTCGCGGCCGTAGCGAAGATACATCCGCGCTCCCGTGGAAACCGTAACAATGCAGCCGGGATGTATAAAAGAAAAGATTAATAATCCCCAGTCCTTTGTTGAGAAGAAAGGGACTTCCGCCGGTGGAACTGATGAGAAAAATACACGGCCGTGAATGGCTGCCAGCTTCTTCTTAAATTCCATTCCAGCTCTCGCCGACGTAAAACCGCGCGCAGTTAGAGAATTAATGAAGGACCACGGATTCCGAAATATGTCGGCTAATGACAGTAAATTCGACGCCGGATCCGGACACGGAATAAGAACGCGGGATAATTCATGGAACATTGTTATGGTTGGACCGCGGATGCGCATGCAAATTCATGTTCCCCGAGGTTTCGTTTCCAGACAAACCGCAAAAATCCGTTTCCGCTGATGTGTGTTTGGCTCGGTTCGTCCCGCCGTTTTTCTTGCCGTGGATTTCGCGCACGGATTTCCCAGTTTACCTTGAATATTAATCTTAACCCCTTTGCACAATGTAACTAGTGAAACTCGCGACGATGATTTCACACGTGATCTATTAAATGCGAATTTTATGTACTTCTTCTGAACCGAAAGAAAACTTGATTCTTCTGTTATCAGAGTCTGGGAACAAAAGTTATTGATACTACATTATATTATTATATATACACTATATTATACTACTTATATATACACTTCTATTATATAATAGTATAATATATTATACTACTTATATATATACTTCTATTATATAATAGTATAATATAGTATACTATTATATAATAGTAGTATAATATAGTATATATATAATAGTAAAATATATAATATCAATAACTTTTGTTATATTATTATTATATTACACATATGTTATATGTGTTATTATATTATATTATATATAACTATTACTATATATATTGAGACATCTCTTTGAAGAGTGCGTAAGTGACAGTAATTATACTGTATGTATCTGATTTTCTTCATATTTTGTGTAAATACAATTCTATAAAATATATAATTTGATCAAGAATATTAAAGTATATTATCCTTCTTGACCAGTTACCTGTTTTTGACGAATATACTGGTCGTAAAAATTTTCTGTTATGACGAGTATACTCGTCAAAAACAGCTAACTGGTTAAGGAAATTATTAAGGTCGAAGAAATGCTAATCGAAGTAGCTATAAAAAGGTTAAGAAATGGTGTTACGAAAGAGTACATTGCTTTTGGAACATAAAACTGTAAAAAGTAGATGTTAGCAAGCTGTTATACAGTGTGAATTACGAAAGCCACTGATAATACGAAAGCTGCGACAGAGATCGTAGATCAAGGGATTAACGAAACTGGAAGGAAACATTTTTTGTAGTGTACTGTATCTAATACGAATTTAACCATTTTTCCACATGACAAATAGTGTACAAATAATTTACGCGGCACACTTGGGTGAATGTACGTAGCCGAAGGGAAACGGAATCAGCCGGAATGAGCGGTAAAATTTTATTTAAATACCCTCGGAACACCGTCGGAGTCTACCGTGTATAAAGCTGTATGATTTATTAAATTTCACTGAGGGTTTCATTAAAATTTAAATTGAACGCATCGCGCATACATTAAGGTGAAAATAATTCATTTGGAACGTGCATGCACATGATTCCCAATACTTGATATGTCGGAATTTATACAACTTAAAAGGCAAAATACTCAAAAATATGCAACGCTTATTTTCTTGCGGATAAATATTCATAACCGGCGGGTGAAATTAATTTTCCGTATTCTGCGATCGCAAGTTATTGAATCAAGTGCTCCGGAATCAACCGCGAGTCGAAAGAGTGGTTTTGGAGTTGAAGTCCGGGAGGTTGTCTTGAATGGCGGCTGGAAACTCGAATTAAGCAATGGCAAACCGTAGGGACGCGAATTAGACCATGCCAAGACTAACAGACTCCAAATGGACGAGGTTAAGAGTAACAAATTCGTAACGAACCAACTCGGCGCTAACAGACTCCCGGAACGGGCCAAGCCAAAACTAACAAATTCAAAATAAACTAACTCGGGGCTAGCGGACCGAAAATGACCGAAGCCAAGGCTAACAAATTGGTAATGAGCCAACTCGGTACCATCGTACTGCGAATGGACCAACCGGGAATCGAGAGATCGATTCCTGCAAAGGGATCGATCCTAGATCCAAGGAGACATCTGTGCCTAAATTAACAATCGAGATATTCTGCGAAAGACCATAGTTTCGGATACCTCGATCTTGAATCAGCCTGCTTCGAATTTAATGGCCGTCATATTGCTTCGAACCGAGTCCTTTGATCGGTTCCATTCGGATCTTGCATGAATTGGTTGCATTCATCTTACCCTTAACTTGGTCCAACTCGAGTCTGTCGATCTTTAACTGGTGTAATAGAAGCTTGTGCTCGCGCGTTAAAAAGCAACAAATCTTCGCGGCACCTAGTTTCAGGAAGCGTTCGCATCAATGACTTTCTCCATTGACCGAAAGCGTATAGTTAAGTATATTTTCGTAATGCTTCGTTACTAGTTCATGATCATCCTCTGTCGGCGGAAAGCCTTCTCGTCCGATACTTCAATTTAAACAATACGATTACATTCAATTAACCTAATTCGATTATTATCGTTAGTCTACTAGCGAAGCATTCCTGTACACTCTTGGCAGAAAGTACCCGATCAAAGGAATAAAATATCTATCGTTGTATGCATATCGTTCACATATTTGACGTAGAAAATATTTTCATCGACGACAACGTCGAACGTAGCGATAAAACTCGTCAGACATTAAGAACATATCAATATAAAATGAATATGTTCATCTTTTTAAAAGATACACTGATTTTAGAAAGCTTCTCCTAAACATGGAACAAACAGTTTAGACCATCTATACATTAAATAACGTTCTATCGTTCCGTAATGCTACTCAAATTCATTTATAAGATCATTCACTGCCTTAATAATATTTTTCTAAAATCTAGTCCACTTTTTTCTCACATTTATCCGATGCATATACGATTCTACTCTTCGCATGTAATATACACCGAAAAACAATACCACTGTGACGAATCACGATGCTTTTGATCGAATGCTTTCTGCCGGGTGTAGCATTATTTCGAACGGTTTAATCGATTTTCCAATATTTCTTGTTTGCAACAATAAAGGTGTCGTGGGTCAGGAGAAGGGACTCCCATATCCTCTCAGTAGATAGAACTATGTTTATCCCGGACGAAAGGTTCCAGGCGCTTTTCGTGGACTCGGTGGACAGCTGGACCCTGCAGGTTAAGTACGTCCAGGAACGCGACGAAGGCGAGTACGAGTGCCAAATCTCGACCGACCCGAAAAAGAGTCACATCATCAAGCTCAACATCGTCGGTGAGACCGCGAGAATGCATTCTGTTTCTTTTTTCTGTCCCGTCGCGAACCCAATAACGGCACCGTCCTTATCGCCGCGGAGCTGTCCATTACCGTCCATTTATACGGGAACGTTATTTTTACGACGCATTGTTGAACAGCTCTGTCATCGATCGCCGAAGTATAAAGTTCCGACGCGCGACGGAAAATTATACCGGTGAAAAAAAAATACATTTTCCCCGCTTTATATAACTCGTGCAATAGCGCGCATTGAAATTTCTTCCTTCAACATTTGTCCAATAACAGTTATAAATACCAGATCAACTGAAACGCCGCGCAGCCTCCATTATTGCGTCGCTTAGTTTCCAGTTTTAGAGTCAGAAATAATATCACTTATCCGTACCAATATCCGACAAATGTAGCTCGTGAAAGGTTCTTTTGAAAATCCTACAGTAGAATGCTCGCGGAAATAAACTGTCTAGCCTGTATTCGGGCAAATTCTACGATCGTTTCAAAACATTACGATTTTGACAGCGGAGTTTATTTGGTCAAATTGTACAGGTAATATGCGGAAATAAAACGGGAGAAAGAATTAAATTGCTTTACATACGACGCTTCGATTTTAAGAAAATCGAAATCGACGATTCGTTAGGTTTACATCCTTTGGAAAATCAAGAAGTACAGTGATGTCTTCCTAACTGACGCTCAGATTGTGCACAAAAATGGACAATTCGGGAAGAGGAGATACGATTATTGGAGCCTTGCGGTTCGTTTTTATAATTGTTGACAATCGATAACCATAAAAAATGAGCCACAAGGCTCGAACAATCGTATCTCCTTTTCCAAAATTGTCCATTGTTGTGGACAATCTGAGCGTCAATTAGAGAGACATTACCGTAGAACCAACGTGTCACGATCGAACAAGTCAGATAATTTCTATCGAACGGTACACGTGTTTGATAAAATTTTAAACTCGATTTTCTTAAACACTTTTCTTCCAACTTATTTGTATACGCTTCAAAAAATTATTAAATTATTGATGGACTATTCTACAAAAATCCGCCGTTTACTTATAAAGAATACCATGGTTAAATTCCTTGAAAATGTTTGACGTAACTTTTCATCTCGAACAACGCTCGAACCATCGGAACTAGCGTTAACATTACGAGCAAACGGAATTTTATTTTCCTTGCGCGAAATAGCGANGTACCCGATCAAAGGAATAAAATATCTATCGTTGTATGCATATCGTTCACATATTTGACGTAGAAAATATTTTCATCGACGACAACGTCGAACGTAGCGATAAAACTCGTCAGACATTAAGAACATATCAATATAAAATGAATATGTTCATCTTTTTAAAAGATACACTGATTTTAGAAAGCTTCTCCTAAACATGGAACAAACAGTTTAGACCATCTATACATTAAATAACGTTCTATCGTTCCGTAATGCTACTCAAATTCATTTATAAGATCATTCACTGCCTTAATAATATTTTTCTAAAATCTAGTCCACTTTTTTCTCACATTTATCCGATGCATATACGATTCTACTCTTCGCATGTAATATACACCGAAAAACAATACCACTGTGACGAATCACGATGCTTTTGATCGAATGCTTTCTGCCGGGTGTAGCATTATTTCGAACGGTTTAATCGATTTTCCAATATTTCTTGTTTGCAACAATAAAGGTGTCGTGGGTCAGGAGAAGGGACTCCCATATCCTCTCAGTAGATAGAACTATGTTTATCCCGGACGAAAGGTTCCAGGCGCTTTTCGTGGACTCGGTGGACAGCTGGACCCTGCAGGTTAAGTACGTCCAGGAACGCGACGAAGGCGAGTACGAGTGCCAAATCTCGACCGACCCGAAAAAGAGTCACATCATCAAGCTCAACATCGTCGGTGAGACCGCGAGAATGCATTCTGTTTCTTTTTTCTGTCCCGTCGCGAACCCAATAACGGCACCGTCCTTATCGCCGCGGAGCTGTCCATTACCGTCCATTTATACGGGAACGTTATTTTTACGACGCATTGTTGAACAGCTCTGTCATCGATCGCCGAAGTATAAAGTTCCGACGCGCGACGGAAAATTATACCGGTGAAAAAAAAATACATTTTCCCCGCTTTATATAACTCGTGCAATAGCGCGCATTGAAATTTCTTCCTTCAACATTTGTCCAATAACAGTTATAAATACCAGATCAACTGAAACGCCGCGCAGCCTCCATTATTGCGTCGCTTAGTTTCCAGTTTTAGAGTCAGAAATAATATCACTTATCCGTACCAATATCCGACAAATGTAGCTCGTGAAAGGTTCTTTTGAAAATCCTACAGTAGAATGCTCGCGGAAATAAACTGTCTAGCCTGTATTCGGGCAAATTCTACGATCGTTTCAAAACATTACGATTTTGACAGCGGAGTTTATTTGGTCAAATTGTACAGGTAATATGCGGAAATAAAACGGGAGAAAGAATTAAATTGCTTTACATACGACGCTTCGATTTTAAGAAAATCGAAATCGACGATTCGTTAGGTTTACATCCTTTGGAAAATCAAGAAGTACAGTGATGTCTTCCTAACTGACGCTCAGATTGTGCACAAAAATGGACAATTCGGGAAGAGGAGATACGATTATTGGAGCCTTGCGGTTCGTTTTTATAATTGTTGACAATCGATAACCATAAAAAATGAGCCACAAGGCTCGAACAATCGTATCTCCTTTTCCAAAATTGTCCATTGTTGTGGACAATCTGAGCGTCAATTAGAGAGACATTACCGTAGAACCAACGTGTCACGATCGAACAAGTCAGATAATTTCTATCGAACGGTACACGTGTTTGATAAAATTTTAAACTCGATTTTCTTAAACACTTTTCTTCCAACTTATTTGTATACGCTTCAAAAAATTATTAAATTATTGATGGACTATTCTACAAAAATCCGCCGTTTACTTATAAAGAATACCATGGTTAAATTCCTTGAAAATGTTTGACGTAACTTTTCATCTCGAACAACGCTCGAACCATCGGAACTAGCGTTAACATTACGAGCAAACGGAATTTTATTTTCCTTGCGCGAAATAGCGAGATCGCGTTCGCCGCACATGTAACGCCGTTGGAGAAACGTCGGCGCGGTCCATGCGGCAAACTACAAGCGTCGATTGTTTGTTTTATAGTGCCAAAGATCGAGATCATAGGCGACCGCGACATGTACGTGAAGACCGGGAGTACGGTCGCCATACGGTGCATAATCAAACAGTCCCTGGAAGGGCCGTTCTACGTTTTCTGGTATCACGAGGGCGACCGGGTTCTGGACAATCAGTTGGGCAAGATCGAAATCCAGACGGAGAGGATCAATAACGACACGGTCAGCAGTCTCGAGATCCGCAACGCGAGGCGGGAGGACTCGGGCAATTACACTTGCAGCCCGAGCAGTTTCGACAGCGCGAGCGTGCAGCTTCACGTGTTGAATGGTAAGCGTTTTCGCATTCCATTAACATAAATCTCTTTCGCGTTTCGACGGAGAAATATGTAGATGGTAATACCCGCGGCGCCGTGGAAACGAAAAAATGGCCTCTTAAGTGAATACGAGCTGACGTTACGTTTCCAGCACATCGTTGGGGAGAGAGGTCACGACCTGGTTGAACGCGCATTACGATAGGTATGGCTTAAAATATAGGGATCGATGGGTATTAAGACAGGCTAAAGCGTTAATATTAGATCGTGCTCCGCGAACTGACGCCTCGGGTTTCCCACAAATTTTACCGCCGATAATACGACCGGCCTTGCTAGAATTACTAGGACATTTCGGTTGCTCGAATTGATTTATTCGTTAATTTGACGCGTCTATTTCGGGCCAAGGCTAAATAAAGTTCGTCTCGAATACGATCAGGAATTTCGAAAGGATTTAGAATTTTAAACGAATTCAATGGTGATGATAATACTTAACCTGTTAAATGTATCGTACGCGAATATGGACTAATGTGTGAAATCATTTTGAGATATACAGTAAATTCTCCCTAACTTTCCTTCAGCTTGTAAACAAAAATAGACAACTTGGAAAGAGGGGGTACGATTATTTGAGCCTCGAGGCTCGTTGTTGTGGTTGCCGACTGTCAACAACTATAAAAACGAGGCGCAAAGCTTGATTAATCGTACATGCTCTTCCCGAATTGTCCATTTTTGTCTACAAGCTGAGAAACAATTGGGGGGAATTTACTGTGAACAGTGTGCGTCAAATAAGATGTTATTTATTATATTAATATTATATTATATAAATATTAATTTCCTTACAAAATGAAATTGATATCGTAATTATATTTGAAGAAAACAACTTGCAACATTTTATTTGACAGACGCGATATACATTAACTTAAAGCCAACGAACGGTTTAGCCAATTTAGGCGAAACTTTACCATTGGATAGTTTCTACAGCTGCTAGTAACGCGAGATACATTTTATCGCGTTAATTTATCAGAAGGCCGAGCAGTGATGATAAAAGTGAAGTGAGTCGGAGAAAAACTGCCATTCGAGCGCCTTTTATTGCACACGCTGCCTAAACCGTTAGAGGTATATCAAAATGATGTATGGACGAATGGTTGGCAATAAAAAGGGCCACAAAAATGTCCGCGGCAGCATATACCTGTCTATAACAGATAGCCGCTAGAACAGATACACAACAACCGTTTTTTATGTTACGTTTTGCATTGAAAAAGAAATATTAAACTTGCGGTTCGTTCTTCTATTTTCTATCCAACAAATAATAACCAAATAATCTATTTATCTATTTAATCGTGACCAAGGATCGTATCTGACTAGATATCAAGAAAGATAAGATTCACCTCGAATATCGATTACGTACCCCTATTTTAAACGTGTATCGTGGCACTGCTGTACATGCACTAGACGATACGGTTGTATTTGCGTGAATTTATACATCTCAAATGCATAAATTAATGTACGATGCTACGAATCTGGCAGTGATCGTGCTTCAAGGTTTGAACAAATACGACCTTTTAATCAGGTCAAGTGCTTCGTAAGCATGCAATGCTAGCCTGATAGAGCGGACCCTTCGTCTTATGTTATTATCGTTTATTATTATCGTTATTGATTTACTTGCGCGTAAGGCCTTTTAGTATAACATAATTGTGCGGTCGATTGTGTAAGTGGTGTAAGTCATGTTTAATATAGCTTGTCTCCAAATATTCCGTCCTTTGTGTCGGAATATATTAGAGAACCGACAAAATCTTTTATAAATATAGTAAAAATGCAATTGACATATTTACACTGTCGCATACTACTTTACGACTGGTTTGACAAGAATTCTTCCAATATAGGAATGTATATCGAAATTTTGTTTCTCGATCTACACATCATTTTCATAATCACTGGCACAATTATTAAAGCTTTTTTTATTACGTGAACACACGTGAGTCTATCTCTGGGGACAAAAAAATGTTTGAGATGTAGCTAACTGTTTCACAGTCGAATATATTGTTTTCAAATATAGTATTGTGAATGAAACACAAATTTTTTATTTCGAGCATCAGTATCGGTAATGATATTATATATTATTATATAATATTTATACAACTGCTGGGGGTCATTCCACGCCAAATCGATCACTGTTTTCTTCCGATATCTAGGATTTTGTCCAAACTGAAATATGATGTAGTCCAGGTGATATCAGGGGGTGTTTAAGTCATCATTTTGCTAATTTCGAGTTTATTTAAAAAATACAACGACCTAAAATTTACGATTTCTGCACATTTTTGCGAAATTGGTTTGCACTTAGGAATTTTTATCTCGGAAATTATTGATCCTGTCGAGATGTACCGTTTTTCAGTTTCACTTGGGGAGGATCCACCTTTCCAAATAAATGTTGATCCGATTGAAAAATTGTTTTTACTCTGGAAACAATTTTTCGATCGGATCACGAATCTTCTAGCTGCAATAATAAGAATTTAATTAGTATCCTATGCAGTCGTAACAATGCCGGTGTTGATTCCTCCCTGTACGCATATTAATCGTACATGAAAAAAGTGTGCAGCACTGTTTTCCGCAGAGTGGTCGATTCACCGCGACGGCTAAAATCTATCAGACCGTAGACCGCCGATATCGAACGAAATTTCCCAGCAGGCCCGGGCAGAGATCGCGGGACTACCGCGTTGCGTTGCGTTTATAATGTGATACACCAGTAGGTAAAATCAATTTATGTGCCACAGGTGAACATCCCGCCGCGATTCAAAGAGGGATGAACTCGGCACCGGGTGGTTGTCCAACGTTGTGGTGGCTGGCGGGCGTCGTGACGCTGTATTCGAGTCACGGCAGCCGGCTGTTCCCCCTCGTGGCCCTTCTGATCCTCGTGGTCCTTTGTTACCCGAAGAACCCGCCGTATTTCGCGCCGGAACGATAATCAGGAATGAGAGGGAGCACGGTGTCGCAAGATGATCGATCATCTCCTGCTACGAGACCCGGGAAGCGCCTCGAAGAACACTCCGGCGAGAAGAGACGCGAGGACGGAGCGTGTGTGCGGGCTTTCTCAGGAATCGATTTCGTGAACGGGAAAAGAACGAGGACGATCAGCAAGGGAGACCGCGAGAAGAATACACGGCGTGAAGCAAACGGCGAACGAGGGTGGTCTAATGGTTCCTTTCGGTCAGCGATTAACGTTTTCCTTTCCGAGGTACGAGGTCGACGGAGGCCCGAGATTCCGGTCGGTCCCTCCGAAAGGAGGACCGTCCGCTGTCCTGTTCGTTTCGCGGAGACGATTCCGCGGTCGTCGTTCGTCTCGACGGGTCGGCAGCAGTGATCGCGAGCGCCGAGAACACGTCGTCTTCGTTGCCCGACCGTCTCGAGCACCGGCGAAACCTTTACAACGAACCGTTCAGTTCGAGCAGGTAGATCGAAATCGTCGACGTTTCGACGACGCCGACTACCCTGCGCCAGGAAGGGGGACTCAAGGGTAGAGAGAGCGAGAGAGAGAGAGAGAGAGAGAGAGCGAACGAGAGCGAGAGAGAGAGAAGAGAAACGAGACAATGTGATCGATCCGGCCGTTAGTAATTAGGGATTAATTAAATCTCGCGGGGGTTCTTGTTAAATCGGCGCGAGTTCTTCGCGCGGTCGAACACGGGGGATGGCGAACGACACGAAGCTCGCGAACACACTGTCCCACGGGAACGAGAAAGGGCACGAGAGCGAGCGAGAGAGAGAGAGAGAAAGAGAGAGAGAGAGAGAAAGAGAGAAAGAAAGAGAGAAAGAGAGGGCAAAGATTTTTTATAGAAGCCACGAGACATTAAACGACTCCACGATCTTCCGTGAAACACGTACGATAGAACGTTTTGTATCTGCGTATCGATTCGCATCGATCGTTTTAAGAAATTCGAAGCGTCGTCGCGTCGCGTCGCGTCGCGCGAAATCATTGTATATGTTCATCCGGAGCTGTCGTCGAGGAGAATCGGTCCCGCGGCGGGAGAAAACTGAAACGCAAGCTCGAAACGAGATCCCCGGCTTACTCATTGTTCATCATTGTCAAAAGGTGTTCCGTGATCTTCGTGTCTTTCCCCGGCGGGAAGCCAAACAGCGGCGAAGTCTCCGAGATCGATCGCGGGATTCTGTCGAGGACACTGCGAGGGTTTCGTAGTTTCTTTCGCATCGAGATTCACTCGATGAGACGCGCGCGCGAGTGTGTGATTCCAGAAGGGTGGCTACGGATCGCGGGGGTGGGAAGCACCGTTGGTTCGGCGAGCAAACGAAAAATAATGGGATCGCGAGAAGGGGATCGCTAAATGCTGACGGAACTTCGTCCGCGCCGCTCCACAGAATTGAGACTTGTTCGATGGATTTTTTCGAGGCGATGTGATTAATTATATTCGAATAGGAAACGATTAGCGAAACAACGTGTCTATGCTCGACCGTCTTACCGCGGCCGTCCCGGGATCGTCACGAGCAAGCCGACAATCGTCTCGACGATCGTCAACGTCTGACGGTCCGTCGAAACAGTCGCACACGCGCCAGGTACGCGCTCGATATGTACTATTTTTCCTCGGTTTCCTCTGCTTTACTTTCACACCACAGAGATTACCGGAACGAGGGAAGTCGACGGTCGCGAACACAGTCCAAGGCAACGTTCCGAAACGATTCGGTTTCTTGATTTCAGAGAATCCGGCGAGGTCTTTGTAATGCCAGAGAGGAAGCCGGCACTTGTTGGCTGCCGACGATTATTCTTATAGAGCCACGATGATCGAGAAGAGGAGATTTTAACGGGGGAACGTGTCCGCTTTGAAACGCGGTCGCGTCTGTTCGGTTAAATTGAAGAATACGCTTAATAGACGGGCATCTTGAAAAGATCCCTGACTTAACGGAAATCATATTTTATCGTATATCGATCGATGCGTTGAAGAGTTCGTATAGAAGGGTTTACGTTGAAAACGTGACTATTGGATGCTGCTATTTTCAAAGAGCGTGCATCGCTTCCGACCGAATTAGTTAGCGAGTATCTTCGTCGTCGCTCTCAGATTATATTCTTCCCTCTTTTTTTCCTAAAACGCTTCGCGCGAGATGCATTGAAAACTCCCGTCGGATGCGATAAAAATAACGCGTGCATGTGTACGCGATGCTCACGGCTGATACGTAAAAGCAGAAGTTTTATTTATGGAAAATCGTTTCCTTCGTGTCACCGCCGCCGGGTCGAACGAATATCGAAGAGATTATCTAAGAGCGCCGCGTGTGTCCGAGACGCGGCAACGATACGAACGGTAATAAGGAATCCGAAGCTTCGAGCGACGACTCCGGCGACACCCTTATCGTAAGTTTAATCCCCGAGGATGGTAGCGTCCCCGATAATTCTCGTTCATATCAGACGACGAGGTCGACCCCTCCATATCAGAGCTGCTTCGCAGTTCCTGAACGTTCTGGTAGCGAACCGAACCGTGTGCGTCGCGGCGGTAACTCGTCCGCGGAAACCTCGTTAACTTCGCGGCGCGGTCGCGCGCCGCCTGTTACATTTGACACTGCCTGTTACATTCGACACTGCCTATTACATTCGACACTGCCTTCGTTGTTTTCCGTGTCCGCGGAGACCCAACCAAAATGGAGCAGACACGCAAGGCGTACCTCGAACGCCTCGCGACGATCCACGGTGACGGAGATTTTGGTATTCGAAGCGCATTGAGCATAGACACGAGCCAACTAAAAGTCTTATATGTCCGTGCATGCGTGTTAGAATTCACAACGGAATGGGTCAGGAGGGTGCGGGACTACGAATTAGCAAGCACGACGATGTATCGGGGTTCGATCCGCGAGTACCGTTGAAATTGGAAACATTTCGAAACTCGAAATCATAAGTCTCTTCGATCCGAGGAACTTCCTAATAAACGAGCTTCCAATATCGATCGATAAACTCACTAAACATGAGATAATCGTAGTGGGAAGGATATAACGCGCGAGCGTGGAATCGTCGGACGTCACGCAACCACACCGAAGAACCTCGGTTCCGACTTGTTTCTTGTGTTCATTTCTAATGTTAATTCACCTAGTCCACTCGAAACGTGGTCGAACGAGAAGGAGGTGGGAGGAACGTCCCTGAATAAAGTAAAGAAGAACCGAGAAAGACCGATGATCCTTCGATTCTCCCTCCTATCGTCCGAGCTTACGCGAGAGAACCATCTTCTTGCGCACGGTTTCGCTACATTTCATTCGAAACAGTTGATTCCAAGTATTGTAAACGACAATCGCAATCACGGTTGTCACAATAAACGAAATTTCAATGTGTGAATAATTATAATATTATATATAATAATATATATATTATATATACAATTTATTATATATATATATATAATATATAATATATATAATAATATATATATTATATATAATAATAAGGTGTGAATAATCTGTTCATGTAAGAATCCGAATAAACGAGATAACGTATCCTTTCCACTGATAATTCTCTACACTTTGCAGGTTCTCGCCTACTTCCACGTGATGTCTTTCAAATTTTATCGATCGATAGATAAGCAATGGTAGCGGAACGTTGATAGTGTATTAGAGAGTCGCCTGTGCGACACAGGACCCATACCGTTTTTAACGTTGTGCATGTTCGGCTGTATAAACGTACGGACGGACAGCTTTTTCGGGCCGCCTGAGGCGTTCCGTGAATTTGCTTTCTTCTCGCAAGCGTTAGGGGATACTGTTTTTTATAATATTATATATATAAATATATATATATACAAACGAGACAGATAAATATATATATATGTATATGTGTGTACGCGCGCGCGAATACGTTGCACAATGGTGTTGAAGTATTGAACAAGTTTCAGCTCGGCTCTCTCCCGGGAAAAAGAGAGAAAGAGGGAGACGGCGGGAGAGGGTGGGAGAAAAGAGGAAGAGAGAGAGAGAGAGAGAGCGAGCGGCGCAACAAACGTCACGGGAATACAGTGGGTTAGAGTTAAAGAAATGTTTTCGCCGGGCGAGTGCATGGACGTAATCGTGATGAAAGACTGTGAATAATCGTGAAGAAAGTGAAAGAGATGGAGGGGAAAGAGAAAAAGAGAGAGAGAGAGAATGAGAGAGAGAGAGAGAAATAGAGAAATTGTCGAAGTAGGAGCAGCGGGAGAAGAAGACTAGCTGTACGAGACCGAACGATACGTTAGAATATCTACGATTCATGTGATTGTAAATACATAGTATATAAATAACGTAACGTTAATTAACGATATGCCGTACGTGTTACACTAAAGCAACAAACAAAAAAAAATGAAATAAATAACGTTACTGTGTAATTTCTCGGATCGTAAACGCATTCGAATGGGTCTGGCCGCCCGTGCTAACCGACTCGGGGTTGTTTCAGAAGACAATAGCGGCTACTGAGAAAGTCTGAGGCTCGTTTGATCTCTCGTTCCACCTTTTTCCATTCTTTTCACTCTCGGAGTCTGGATCGGTATCGACATATCCGCAATCTTTCCTTCCCCGCATGGATCATTTATCCCGTCTTTGAATTCTACTCGCCGACATTCTCAGTTCTACGATTTGTTTCTAAACCATATGCCAGTATGCTATGCTCGGAGAAGGCTTTTACGCAAGCATAGGTCGTTTGAAGTCCACCTTATAAGGCTGTAAACATACGGGGCACAAAGGGAACGATAACGAAGCCCGTGGTTAGCGTGATGCAGAGTGGAAAGTATGTAGATCAGTGGCAATATTAGGGACAGTGGTGGAAAGTTCTATACAATAACTCCAACGATCTCGAACAGTGGACACAATTCGTGTAGACAAACTAAAATGTAAATATCGTAGCGGACCGCGCGAACCGGTACTTCGTGTTTTTGTTATAACTCCGTGCGGCGTCCAGTGTCTTATTTAATGGTTTTCGTTGCTGTATTCTGATCAAATGCACTGATAAAGTTTGGTCGAGCAAATTCGGATCGAGCTCGTTTCTACAGAAGTTTCGATTCCTGCAAAGTTATCTTCGATTTAAAATTCATACCACTGTATGAACTTACTGTTAACGAAACTGTGAGAACTTCCCAATGGCCCTAATTATTGCATTTAATTCTTTTTAACTTGTTACTCGGAGATGTGGAATATACTCGCCATTTTCATTCATCAACCCTTGCGTAGATACTAATTTTCGTTGAACACACTTTCGCGTATTCGTTAAAAAGACCCATATTGATCTTAGTAATATTACTTAATGATTTTAGGTAATTATCGTCCCTTGGTACTCATGTCCACGCGACCGATTAGAAAAGCATTTTGTTAACATGTTACAAGTGTTATAAGTGGAATAATAATACGTTCACCGACAGACGGCGTTAATCCTCGTCCAGCCACTGGTGCATCAATCGCGACCTATGTTTCGATCTTGACAAAGTCGCACGCGCATCGATCCCATCGCTTGCTTTCTTTCGACGGACCTTCTCCTCTTTTAACTATAAGCATCGTTAGATAATATTTTGTACCGAAACGATTAGTTTAAAGAACGTAGATAATAAATCGTCTGGTACCGTTTCCGTTTGGCTGCCCGAGGGTCAACGCGAGACGGTGCTGCGGAAGCGAGCGCAGCAGGAGAGGACGAAAGTTCTGGTATAAAAACAGAGAAAGACTGAACATAGCGACAAAAAGTGAAAAGGAAGAGAAAGAAAAGGAACGGGTGGCGCAGGGGGGCAGCACCGGCGCGCATGCTTTTTCTGGCGCGTCGGTGCAACGAGACAACAAAAAGGGATGCAGCTGCGAGCAGCTCGTCCCTGGGTAGCACGGGCCGGCCACACGCGACTAGATGTAACACTAATTAACGCCTAGCGTAAGAACTAACGGATATAAATGAAGGGATATATTGTCTGACATAATAACCAGGTGTGAACGTACACGCGTATACGTGATGTCCGCGGGCAGCATGCAATGACTGTCTCTCTGCGCGTGTATGTGTGCATGCGTGCGTGCGTGTGACGCTCGCGCGAGCGTGAGGCGAAAGCAAGGGAGAGTATGTAAGAACGGACGAAAGAGAGTGCGAGAGCGAGAGAGAGAGAGAGAGAGAGAGAGAGAGAGAGCGGACAGAGAGCGATGAACACGAGCGAGCGAAAGAATAAACAGGTGAGAAAGGGACACATACACACGCGAGGGTAAGAAAATTAAAAGAAAAAGGGGCTTGTTCGTTGGACTGACGCGGCAAGGCGTTGGTCGAATGAAGCACTTTAAAATAGAAAGAGGCGACCGAGGACAATCTTTCTTGTACCGTTTCTTCCCTTTCTTCGTGGAGCGCCTCGCGAGGCCACTCGTGGCGAAAACATAAAGAGAAAGGGCCAACGATAGGACTCGCCTCGCGACCGCAATTAAAGTTCGCGCCCTTTATTCTCTGGTGCCAGCCCGGCGGCCCCCGCCACCCCTCGCGAGGCGGAAGAAGAAAGTTATAATTCCCGCGCTTGTCCTCGTCGCCTCCTTTATTACAACCGAACTAACAAAGAGGGGACGAAAGTCCGGGGCTAACGACGACCTGTGTCGGAGTGACGATTATAACCACAAACGACGATGTTGACGGAGATGATAACAATGATAACGATGATAAATGAATTTGATGATGGTGAATTAAATAAAAACGTCGTCTAAGGTATACTAACGTTGTAGACAGCATTGAATTTTTGTACCATTGTCTATAGTAGCTCTTAAGTGCCGCGGAGTTTTCAGTTCTTAGAGTTGCCCGCCTGCGCAGGCTTGCGTACGTATTTCTCTATGTATTCTCGGTTTTATCGATGGCTCGCGGGGGCGGATGTTGATTTCGAGCATTGTTAGCGTCCACGAGACTTTCATTTCGTCGTGTGCGTTACTTCGAACGAACTTGCGTCGATGAATGTGCGGCCGCGTCAGTGGTTCCTCGTCGTTCGGCCCGGCAGATTCGTATTTTATTACGCGAACTTCGCCGCGACTCGATTCTATCGGATACTACGGTTACGTAGGCGAGAGCGAGACAAAACGATTGGGAACCGCTGACTCTCCTTAGAAACCATCCCCTATTCCGCCAGAGATTTCATATTATTCCCGCGTGTCGCGCCGGGCGAAGGCCGTTTCTATGATTCTTGCCGCTCGTTGCTGCGCGATACACGCAGTGAGTTGCCCAAGACTCGCCTAAATGTCTCAATTATTTTTAATGACACGGAAAAGTTTCCAAAAGTATTGTTTGTCCTAGCTGGCGAACGATGAAAAGAACTTTCTGGCCGAGCAAATATTTTCTAAAGGTCCAAATTTCTAGATTCTTCACATTTCGCAGACCAGTAGGGTTATTTAACGATCGCTACCATATCAAGAATAAATTTCCATTGGATACTAACAAATTACCTTTTACTACTACCTTCAAAAGCCTAATAACAGGCTTCCGGTAGCTAAAATATCAATAACGTCATAAAAATAAGGTTAAATTTAATTTAACCATTAAATGCAATACCGTATAATTTTTAGTTTTTATGAAGGAATAATAACGCCTTGTATTAGCCCTTTACAAGTACCTTCGCCGATGATAAAAATCCATGAAGTTACGCTCACGAGACCATGGCGGATAATTCCTGCCTAGCTAAATCTCGCATATGTGTACATAAGCTATTTCTAACAAAAAGACATTATTTTAATACTGAAGCAACTACGTTGTGAAATAATACTAGCAGTACTACATTCATATTTTGCACTCGAAGCCATTTTAACACTGATTTCAAAATAGTGTTTCCATTTTGTATGACTTAAGTGCGTGTTAAATAAATGACATTGAATTGTGCAACAATTACACGTTTAACAATTTTGAAAATATAAACAAATTCGATAATGTTGAAATGATTTTGATATAACAATGATTTTGATAATATAACTAAATCAATGTTTCAGTTACTTGAAGTCGCATTCAATATAGCGCCCAAGCAAATGGCCGTCAAACAGTTACCAATACGCTAATACACCTGCGCAAGTAATCGCATATTGCACCGCTGGATGCATTAAAATCTGAATATTCTATCGAAGACGACATCGATAGAATATTTAGGTTTTAATGCATTTTAAGGCGACATAATCTTGTAACGTTAGAGGAAAGATCAGCGAAAAGAGATTTTTTTACATCGGGATATCCGCCGCGAATACATTCTCTCGTGGAAATTTTCCAGTGTCATTAAAGACCACGGACGGCGCTAGTCTTGGAGACTAACCGCAGTTAAATCTGCGCAGCAAGCCAGTCAAGCAGTAAGTATCATTGAAGCGCGATGAACGATCAATTTTACCTACTCCAGCGTCACCGTACACCCCTCGGAAAGATGAATATGAATCGATTTACTTAAGTTAAATCCGCCCCAGCGACACAACACGCGCCTGTTCCCGAGAGTCGCGGTACGCGAACATCGAAAAAAGATCCTTTTTCGTGTGATGATTGACCGTCCTGACAGTTCGTCGATGTGCTCTTACGCGTAGATGCACGAGCTAGTTTTGTCGATAGTAGATAAATATGTAAAGACAGAGAAAGAAGTGCGATTCTACCGTGGACGAAAGGAAGCCCAACGAACCCCGTTACCACTGGAACACCGCAGCGCCGCCATCGAACCGATCTATCGATAAATACGTCTGAGATATTGTCTTCCGCGCGCATGCGCGGTCGGTCGTACGGTGGTGGTCGTGTGGCTGACGGTTGAATTCGCCGGTAAAACGATCTCACGGGAGAGCACGTGAACTTTTGTCGAAGAAACTTGTATACTGTTGCGGTGTGAATCGATTGCCCGTAAATAGTGTCTGAGATAATAGCGTTGATAAAACCACGAGGAACGTACATGTATGTATGATTATAGTGATTTTAACCCTCTACCGCTTACTACTGCTGTGTCGGCCATGGAAGGCATCATAGGGTACTTATTTGCGACGATATCGGAACGCCTTGTAAGTATAGATAACTTTTAAGAAAAGAAAAACCAAGTACGTACCTCTTAGATGAATCCTTCTTGACATGATTCTATTTCTGTTCGTTTCGTTTCGTCGGAATTATATATCGATTTAACCCTGTCACCGGTTTGATTCGTCTCGTAATATTTTCTATTTTTCTGTACGTTCGTTCGCGGATCTTGGCGATCGTGTTTACGTACAACCAGTTCGTAATAAGAACAGAACAGAATCTTAGCTGTGGAGGGTTAGAAACGAATAAAGGGTTATACAGTCGATCGTCGATCGAAACGCTCGGGACGGCGAGAAACTTTCATTAAAATCCTTCTCGTAATCGGTAACGTCGTGCGATCCGTCGCGTTTTTCGTATCGCACGACGAGCAAAGAGGCCGCGGGCATCGAGGCTCCATGGATCTCGATAGAGCGCACGTCGATGCCCAAGATCCGGAGTCTCGATCGCAACGATGGGAAAAAGCAACCTGTCGAAACGTTTCAGTTTCCGAGGTGTATCTTCCCATAAACGACCGTTCTCACACGTAGCTAATGGGTCTAACTAAAACGTTAACGAGTGCCGTTTGCCGGTTCGAACGTTCGACGAAGCTGATGACAATTAATTACGCGCAACGTACAATCGACTGAAAGCGACGACGAGTCGGAGAAACTTAGGGAAAAGGACGATGGAAAAAAATGCGTTTGTCGAGCGCCCGAATAAGCGAACAATCGATTTAAAGCTAACGTATATTCAATGACGACGACATTCGAAGAAAATAAAGAAAGAAATATCCCTCGAAACAAGAGCCTTGTCTCGCAGATTCCCGGCTGCGCACCTTGAACACTGTAGGGTAAAGGGGAATAGACTTTTAACGAATCTGCGAGGTGACGCCTAGGAACAATTGTTTGGACGAGCGCAGTTGTCGAAACGAACGGAAATGGGAACGCGTGGGTACAGTGTTTATGTGAGTTAGAACGGAAGAACATACAACAGGATCAGAAAAAAACAAGAATGAGAGAGAGAGAGAGAGAGAGATAATAAATCAATGTTAAACTGATCACTATCGATTTGCAATTTTGAGAAACACATCTTCGTTATTCGCCATTTTCTCTACATATGTTCAGCCTCGGTTTCGCAATCTGGACGCCAATCTCCATTAGGCATATAGATCGCAGCTGAAGCTGATGCTGTGTGTGGGACATTCGTGAAAGAGCCAAAACATAAACCATCTCGGACCAACCGACATCGACGCCGAACTTATTTTATGCATCAGGGGATGTTTAGATGCGAGCGTTAAATACCCACAAGGCAGCATCGTCCATCTCGAAGTACACATTACACACAATTCTCAGCGTTTCCGTTTTTTCAAAGTATCACGACAACAAGGACGAGGAGAATTATGTCTCGTTCTATGTGTGTAAGAACCATAAAGCTTAATGAAGAACATTATACTATGAACTTACGGGATACTAAATAAAAGTAAGCCAAACCGTNGTTTCCGAGGTGTATCTTCCCATAAACGACCGTTCTCACACGTAGCTAATGGGTCTAACTAAAACGTTAACGAGTGCCGTTTGCCGGTTCGAACGTTCGACGAAGCTGATGACAATTAATTACGCGCAACGTACAATCGACTGAAAGCGACGACGAGTCGGAGAAACTTAGGGAAAAGGACGATGGAAAAAAATGCGTTTGTCGAGCGCCCGAATAAGCGAACAATCGATTTAAAGCTAACGTATATTCAATGACGACGACATTCGAAGAAAATAAAGAAAGAAATATCCCTCGAAACAAGAGCCTTGTCTCGCAGATTCCCGGCTGCGCACCTTGAACACTGTAGGGTAAAGGGGAATAGACTTTTAACGAATCTGCGAGGTGACGCCTAGGAACAATTGTTTGGACGAGCGCAGTTGTCGAAACGAACGGAAATGGGAACGCGTGGGTACAGTGTTTATGTGAGTTAGAACGGAAGAACATACAACAGGATCAGAAAAAAACAAGAATGAGAGAGAGAGAGAGAGAGAGATAATAAATCAATGTTAAACTGATCACTATCGATTTGCAATTTTGAGAAACACATCTTCGTTATTCGCCATTTTCTCTACATATGTTCAGCCTCGGTTTCGCAATCTGGACGCCAATCTCCATTAGGCATATAGATCGCAGCTGAAGCTGATGCTGTGTGTGGGACATTCGTGAAAGAGCCAAAACATAAACCATCTCGGACCAACCGACATCGACGCCGAACTTATTTTATGCATCAGGGGATGTTTAGATGCGAGCGTTAAATACCCACAAGGCAGCATCGTCCATCTCGAAGTACACATTACACACAATTCTCAGCGTTTCCGTTTTTTCAAAGTATCACGACAACAAGGACGAGGAGAATTATGTCTCGTTCTATGTGTGTAAGAACCATAAAGCTTAATGAAGAACATTATACTATGAACTTACGGGATACTAAATAAAAGTAAGCCAAACCGTTAAGTTTCCAACGTGTCCTTCTTCCTCCGCGGTGCCCGACGACGAACCTCAATTTTCTTTCGATCCTTTCCATGTGGCATGAATTAATAAACGCGCATTGATTCTTTATTTAAAAACATTTATTAATCATTTTAAAATGGAATGTTAACTTAAACATTTACTTCGTTACACTTTGATAATAAAAAATTTTATTCTGTATTGAAATATAAAATGTTAAACGCACTGTAATTCTTTGGCTTTCGTCTGTTCTATTCAGACTTCTTGTTCTTGTCACGTGTTTTTATACAGTTCTTAATGATCCTTTTGAAGTGGATCAAATAAAATGCACTTATGAGACGGAAAGGGCCCATGAGTACTGACTGTACAAATAATTCTGTAATCGAACCAACCGGTGCCATCCCGGAACACAAGACAGTTAGCATAAAACCTTCCACGCCGATTGTAGAGAAGAATTTTCCAGCCTAAAAGTGATTTGAGTTTTCACAGTTTTGCCAGTAAAACCAACACGTTCGTAGAATAAAGCTTTCGATCGACTTACCAGCGCATCTTTGAAAAGTTTATTGGCTACTACTTCCGGACTCACTAAGGAGCTGGTTTCTGATATGAGTTTTGTCTCGAGAGGTTTCGTTAACTCTTCTACAGCAAAACCTGGAGTATCTGTATCTGGAGGTAAACATAGAGTCACAGAAACATTATATGGCGTGAGTTCCATAGATATACTTTCTGCCAAACCTCGGAGGGCAAATTTTGTACTACAGTAAGCCGAATAGCCAAATATACCTGCAAGAAATAAATGTACATATTACAAATATAGCAAAACTTTTTGCTAAATATACAAAACGTACAACTACTTTAGAGAGTACATTATGCATTATTTTATACGTAAATTATAATGCTCAAAACTATACCTAATAATGCAGCTTGAGAAGAAGTTAAAACAATGATTCCTTCCTGAGTAGCTTTCATTCTTTGGACGACAGCTTTGGTGCAATAATAAGATCCAAGAAAATTAAGATCGATCATTTTCTTTAAGTCTGTCGCTCTTGTGTCTTCAATTTTACCACAAATTGCAGTACCAGCACAGTTCACTAACATGTATATCGGGCCCATAGTTCTTTCTAAATCGCTTAAAGCCTTTTCAACCGCTTCATAATCTTGACCGACATCGAGAGATAAATATTCAATTTTCTGTGTATCCTTATTTTTACACGCGTGTATTATTTCATTCCTTGCAGCTTCTAACTTTTGGACGTCTCTTGCAATTATTGTAACATGTGCCCCATGCTTGGCTGCAGTAATCGCCACACATTTTCCGATACCACTGGAACCACCAGTTACCTAAGGAATAATGTAACTTAATTTGATATTTACCAAATATTAGCAAACATTTAAACAAGCAAAATTCCAACAACATTAGTAGTTGTATTATTTCATTTATTTACAAAATAGTTTGAATAAGATGTAAATAAAACTTACAAGAGGTTAATTTTAGGTTATTTTAGGTTAGATTTTGATTACTTACAACAACGTGTTTGTTATTAACATTTTTTAAATGTCCTCGAGAAAAATAATATCTCACAAGCAAAAGTGTAATTAATATTAGAAGTAATATTGCCATCGTTCTTGTTATAGAAAGTAGCCGATGGTACTATTTCTCCGATAAGAATTTTTTTAATTCGTAGTGGTAATTGTAGGCTGCTGCATATTTGACCGATGAAATATAATTAATACCAATGTTTCAAAAATATATTAATATACTACAATTCCTAAAACTGAATTGCAAATATTTGGACACTTCTAACCAAATCTGTTGCTTTATCCGTAAACAATAGTTCAGCTGGGAACACATACATGTATACCTTATGTATGCTTTACAAGTATATATACATTGTGCATATATGATGTAGAAAGGTGAAATTCGTCAAGCTTTATTAAGCTAACATATAATTTAGTTAGTAATATATGTAGTTGTAAATATTTGTTGACTGGCAGATAAGCGTGTACAGTACATATCAGGTCCTATTCCTGTACCAAAGAAAATCAAATAGAGTATATTTAAATTTGATCCACGATCCACCCCTCTTTGCAAGTGAGCAGAGTTACCTTGCATTATTTGTCGGTGTGACTTGTGTCATATGTAGTTGTACTAATGCTCTGTGTGAGGGCAGCACTGTTCCAGCAGTGAATCATCAGCCAATCAGAGCAAAGCAATTTCTGTTCCGACCCTTGCCAACTGAGCAAAATGCGACTTGAAGCCGAGCAGGAATAGGATCTTAATAGTAAATATTTGAATCGAATGGTTAGTTCATAGTTGCGGCGTCAGTGTTGTGCATACAACTGGAGCGAAATCATGTGTACACAATTTAGGGATCACCGGTGACATCTTACGATAATATTTGTGTATTACTGTTCATGTCTATACAAAAAATACAAGATACAAAATTTGTGAGAACATCTTGACACATGCGGGATGCAATTAAAAAAAATTTCTCGAGTAACATTCAATTCATCAAATTGTGCATATCTGTTGAAACAAATCACGAACATCATGGTTTTAACAAGAACTTACCTCGTTAATATCTGTATACGGTTACTACCCCTTGCAACACCAGTGGACAGTATCGCCATCATGTAGATAATTACCCGAACCGATAACTGCACTAACCTACTCGAATTTAGCGGAATGCATCAATATGGCCTTTGGTAGTTCAGTCGCGCGACCGTTCGTTAATTATTTAAGTAATTTTACGGTACGTATAAGTGTATGTTGACATAAACATTTCGCCGAAATGAATATGTCAGTTGAGAAGAAAAAATACCCATCCGCACTGCCAACGAATTGGCCGACGAGGGATGAAACTACCAGGAAGAGCCAAAACCAATTGTCAACTACGGGGAAGGTTGACGTTTATTATTACAGGTGAGTCTCATACGCGACGATTTTTTATTCGGATTTCAATGACTCAAACTGACTATATATTATGCATGTGCGTCGCGAGAATTGAACAAAAACTGCTAAATCCTTCGCATTTGATAAATTTTCACTTAAATACGCTAATTCTAACCTCAATGTTATATGTTTATGGATACTATATTTTTTTTAGTCGTGGAGTCAGGAACGACGCGTCGTTGGTACCACCGATAAGGCAGACAGCGTCCATTTTTAAACAACCAGTCACAATTTATAAAACCCAGGAGGGAAAAGTGAAAGATATTAAGCATGGGAATCAAGAAAAACCAAAACAGGTAGTTTGTTTAACACATCTATCTGCTATACATATTTAATTATTGAAAATTTTTTAAGATAAATTGTGTTGACGTTTCCTAACATTGTTACTTTTTATCCAAAAATTTTTCTAAACTACATAATGACAACTTCATCTTATTCTACGATAAGTCACTTACAAACTTCACTAAGTTTTTTAACGATCACAATGTCTCCTTCCCGTGCATAGAAATATTACCCCAAGATTTAATCACTCGTCGCGAGCATAGAATATTAGAATTTCAATACCTTATTATGGCATTTAAGTGTATTCCTTGTAAATTCTCATGGTACAATCATCCGATCATTCATTTAGGAAGGAGCCGATAAAGCTGAAGGCAAATACGGCTCCCAAGATAAGCCTAAACAGGTAACATTGTTCGATGTGCTTATGGAATCATTATTAATTATGTGTTTGTCTCTTTCTGTCTACAAATCATCAATATTGTTGTACAAAATGTTATCGATATATAATTGATTATTATCAATTATTTTAGATGAAGTTGCGTAGTGCATGTTTCATTAGGAAATTCCGAAGGATGCGAAAATCTTACAGTAACGAAGATTATAACAAGCATAATTCTTTTGAGCAATATCTATAAAATATTATATTGAGTTGTCTCTCGTCATCTATATATTTCCATTATTATAAATATAACACTTAGCCATTATAAAATTCACAACATTTAACTGTACATTCTAATTTTGCTTATAACTCGAAGCAAGTATATTTTGCTTGTGCAATTAGATCATCGTTATGCGTGTTAAGCATCAACATTTCCTTAAAAATAGTAATATTGTGCCATATAGGAACACCGTCGATCATACGCATTTAATAATTCTACGTCTTGCAGTTATTTTGGGAGAAACGTTTGGAGGGATTAAGGGCGTGTGATCCAGACGGTTTTGAATTCGACGCAATGGATTTACCAAAAAGTTTGAAACCAGTTGGACCATATATTACAGAAGAAACTCTTCTTCAAAGTGTTGCAACTGCTCTGCATGTTTCTTCGCAACCAGTCACTGGACAGACGGGTTCAAAAACAGCTTTAGAGAAGAATCCCGGGGTATTTCTTAATCCCGATCAACCCCTCGTACAGGTAGAATAGATATTTAGATATTGGATAGGGTGATACTTACAGTAAACTCTTAAAACTCTTAATAAATAGGTATCATGTTAAAAGTACACGTTAATGTTATCTTCACACCCTATATGATACAAGATATATGTACAAGAATATGTACCGGAGGTTCGAAAGGGTATACAGATAGCAACAAACCGTCAGTTATAACGAACAAACACGAACAACTTTATCGTTTACACGATAAAGGAAAACTGATGTTTGTTCCAGGCGGTCTCGATAGCGGACGACGACATCAAGAAGCAGGAGGACCGAGTAGCAATAGCGAGAAGAAAGTTGCAAGATGCGTTACGAGGGGTTCCTTCGTAAATTGTACAATTCCGTTTAGCTGTATTTCCATTCGCTCATCCCTAGTCTTAAGTTCGTCATAAATTATGTCACACCGGTTTTTATAATAAATGTTTTGTAAAGAAACAAACGTGACCACTGTATGATGCTTACAATGTAAGTTCGAGAAAAGAAACATAAATTGTTTTCAATTATCCCCTTTTCGCCACGTTTACTCTGTTTTCCTCGATCATTGAGCGCAAACCGATTTCGCAAATTGCTGGATCCCTGAAAGGGTCTCGAGCCGGCAAAATTGGCTGATTAGCTCGTAAGAAACGAAGAGCTCGCGTTGTTCGGCTGTGGCCGCCGTAAAATCCGATTTCTCTTTTCGTTACGAGCTGCTTACGATTCTGACAGGCGTGCACCGTGGTTAGCCGCCATCTGTCCGGATTTTCGGCGTACTCAGAAAATTGATCCGGGCCCCAGTGGTCACGAGAATTTGGGAATTCCTCGGATCATGGCTCGACAAGGGACGGGAAAGGGGCCGCATCTGGCTTCGCACGGACCGGAAACGAGACCGCACGAAATGATCCCTGAAGCACACAGTTCCGCGCGAGAAAAAGTAATAACATGCATGCAAACGCGCCATATGCGGCCGCATTATATTAATTGCGTCCAGCGCCCGGATATTTTTCCATCGTTTTAGAATCGTGCAAATGACGAAACTATCGCCTCGATCACAGCTATTTTTCCTAATCTAAAATACATTTCCGAGCACGTAGTGAAATGCCGTTTTTACAGTGGTTCTCCAAAAAACTACTTTACGCTTCTCCGCTTTTTGATTTTTCCGAATTGCCTGATTTTGGAAAAGAATCGCACAGCGATAAACTTGATCTCATTTGAAAGCTTGAAGCTTCTATTATTACCAGACACATTGTTCATTTTCTTTCAACATGTTTCTGCATAATACAACAGATGGAAAAATGGAGATACGATCTTTCTTGAAAATGTTACGAATTGAAGCGTCTCCAAAATCATTGGAAAATTTTTATCGCGACTGATTCTAACACAAATTCGAAGACCGAAGTCTCCTCTTTATAACGACCCCTTTAACTTTGACGTGTGATTTTTTTTTAGTCATTCTATCGAGCTTTGCACGAGAGGTGTATTTTACGGCAACATAAGGTGCACAAGGGCTTTCTTCTCAAGACCTCGTTCCTCGTTTCGGTTCAATAAAATGACTAAAGAAAACCGTGCACCAAGATCAATCTGTGGTAGATATATCCTTGAAAAAATGTTTCCGACGTTTTCGCAGATATTTAAACTTGCAGCATCTTCGAGTAAATCTGTTTCTTCGATTTTCATTATTTCAGAACGGTAAAATCGTTGCACCGTGTCTGCTTGACGAGAGCAAAGGGTTTAACAATTTCCATGACAACGATAAGCTAGACGCGGAGTCTACGAATAGCCGTTTACAAAAAAGGAATCGCCGACCAAGGCAGAAATTAAAAAAAATAATAACCGACCGATGCCAGACGCAAACCAATGGTTGTCCGGACAGTCTCTGAACAGCTTGTATCACGTCAATCGCCTTGAAAGTCTCCTCCGATCGCGTTTCCACCTTAATTATCGGGGATCAAAATTCGTCTGGAGCGGAAACTATTTCTCAACTACTGGGGCTTAATGTTCCTGAAAGAGGAGGCGACGGCCGTTCTAAATCATCGGTTCGGGTTAGCCGAAAGTGGTCGGTCGAGTCGGCACGGGTCAACGAAACTGCAACCTTATGCCTTATGCGAGAGGATCCCACAGGACGCGAAAGTCAATGGCGTAGCCAGTGCAACGAGAGGAACGCCCGTGAGAGTACTAGGGCCTGTGCATAGCAAGAATGGTTCGTGTCGAGTAGCATGTGCATACATACGTTCCCGAAACATCTTTCTCAGCGCGGACGACAGTAGCTTTCTGCCGTGCAGTTTTGTACGACGATGCCGAGCATCGTCGTCTGGGAATGGGTGCGTGCCCCGGACCCCGCAGTGCACAAAAGAATGCTCGGGCAGGTATACGGACGTCGGTTTTCAGGTAAGCACAAGCCAGGTAAGCCAGGTGGTAACCTCTTTTTTCACTCCGTCTGCCCTCTCCACTGCCATTCTCCGAATCCCGACCTCCGTCCTTTTCTCATCGTCGCTCAACAGCTGTTTCCCTGTTCGCAAAGGGTCGTTCTCCCTTATTGTCAACTGGCCCGGCGAGAGAGAGAGAGAGAGAGAGAAAGACGCACCGAGAGAACGAGAGAGAGAGAGAGAGAGAGAGCAGACCTTACGTCCTCCAGACGAAAGCACATGTCCCACTTTAAATCGTTATAATTCGTCGAACACGTTTGTAGATCCTGTCTAATCGGCCTTACGTGTTCACCTCTTTGGTAGTGTACCGCGTGTGCGTGATATGCCGCCGGAGGAAGTCTGATCGAGGATGTGACCCGAATATTCAGTACACATTGTCAAGGATACGATTAATTCAGCTTTTTAACAGCGCCGTCGATGCTTGGCATTGGGCCGGCCACTAAAAACGTATTAAAATCAGGTTTATTACAATTCGTTCTCTATCGATCGATGTACGTTTTATCGTGCTGCACAGTTTCGCATAATTAAAAATGTGCGGACGCAAACTGTTGTTATCGTTATTTAGAGTAGCCTCCGGATGACGAATGTAACAGGGCCCGAGAGAGCCGCCCTGTAATCCTGTTTTGAAGGATTTATGCATTAGATACTTTCATTTCGGTGTACAACCGTGATTGCATTATGAATATTCTGTATATCGTGTAACCGTGCCGTTTGCACGGGTCTCCCCCGTTCCTTATCGGAGGATATTATCAGCCGGCCGCAGAAATTCTTGCGGACGTTTCGTTACACTGTCACGGTTAGTCTCGAGCTTGCAAGTAAATATTTATATTGCTGTATACCTGTAGACTTTATTTCCTGCAGCAGGTTATAACGCAGAGTTTGTCGTACGCCGCGCGGCGTGAGATTATTCTGTTATGCTATACGAAGTAACAGCGCGCGCGCGCGGTAACTTTGCCTCGAGAAATTTCCAAACGTTTAATTTCCACGACGATCGTCCAGCACCGCGCGATCACGGTAAAATTTCGTTCTCGATCATAGACCTTGAAAGTTTAAATTGCGCGCCGAATTTCGGTAGTATATAATTCAACTTCTAACGCAAACCGATAACGGCAGCCGTTCGGTACTATTCTCCTTACGCGATTTTAATGGTCGGTATCAATTTTATGTGTCGCGAACGAGCCATAAAATTAACCGGCTGCTTCGTAAAAGTTTGTTGCATAACTACACTCGGTTGCTTTCTTCGTTTTCCACCGGGATATTCTCGTGTACGAAAACTCTTCTCGTCGATTGCAACGAGGTAAAATCGCGGTAACGTCGAATCTCGCGTTGCAACCGGGATATCGTGTCCTTCGAGATCCTGAGAACAACTTTTGCACGCCGCGATTCGATCGGCAAAGTGATATTTGGCATCTGCCAGTCCGGCGATTAGATCTCGGAAAAGTGTATCGAAGTAATTGCGCGTAGATACGGCGGTCGTTGCGACGCGACCGGCGACGCCGTTTCCATTTCGTTCGGCCCCACCGCGGACTTCCTCGAGAATTCCCACGAGCAAACCGACGACGAAAAGGCGAGAACAGTCGAACGCGTTAAACTGTATTCATTTCATGTAGTCGCAGTCGGTGCCCGATAAAACTCAATCCTTGCTTAAATGCCGTTGCGGTTGATAGAATATATGTGTTCGTGGTCAAGCGACAGAGAAACTGTAATCCGAGGCGAAAAGATCCACCGTGATCGTTTTATTCGCCTCGGCCGTCTCGCTGGAATTCGAACGACTCCGGGACTCCAGGTGCCGTTCTCCTGAGCCGATCGAATTCGCAGCTTTCTGCGAGATTAGATTCAGTTGTTTTCGCGTCCTGTACAATTAAGCACGCCGATCAGACAACCGAGACGTACAAACGATCGCGGGACGCGCGATGCTCGACGATGTCAATTTGTTCTACGGAAACGCTGTAAGCATCTCCAATCATTTTAAACGATCGAGTGGGTTGGAATAATGGTGGCATAGGTGACGTTTGAAATGAAAAACGAGGAGTATTATTGTCCACTAACGCGTGTATCGCTTATCGATCAAATTTATAACGAAGACAATTTAGAGTTAATTTGTAATAACTTTACGATTTATCTCTGTTGTCTTTTCAACATTTCGCCATGCATGGGTCACATTTTAACCCTTGGCGCTCCGAAGGCTCCGCTACGGAGACATTTGTCATTTGTTCCGTAACTCCGAAGGCTCCGCTGCGGAGCCATTTTTTTTCAGCATACGTTATCGTCGGCGTTAGCAATTGTTATCTGTAGTTAAAACGTGCTATGTCTGTACCATTACGATTAAATCATTTTTTGACCTTTTCTATGGTTAGCAACATGGGGAAAAATAAATATTACGATGAGAATTTAGAGCCGAGCGATACCGAAGACGTATTTGATTTTGAAGAGTTAAAAGACATCGTGGAAGACGATGTTGGTTATGATTCTGACACTTCGAGTGGTAGTAGCGAAATTATACTACCAAAGAGACGAAGAATGAGAATTATCGAAAGCGAAAGAGAAGATTCGTTACAAGACTTGGATGAATGGCGCGATGTTACGGAAGAATTACATATTTCAGATAGAATACCTTTTAGTGCATTGCCACAGGTCATTGGACCACAAGTTCCTACAAACATCGAACAGCCGATACAATATTTTCAATTATTTTTCGCGGACGAATTGGTANTGATCGTTTTATTCGCCTCGGCCGTCTCGCTGGAATTCGAACGACTCCGGGACTCCAGGTGCCGTTCTCCTGAGCCGATCGAATTCGCAGCTTTCTGCGAGATTAGATTCAGTTGTTTTCGCGTCCTGTACAATTAAGCACGCCGATCAGACAACCGAGACGTACAAACGATCGCGGGACGCGCGATGCTCGACGATGTCAATTTGTTCTACGGAAACGCTGTAAGCATCTCCAATCATTTTAAACGATCGAGTGGGTTGGAATAATGGTGGCATAGGTGACGTTTGAAATGAAAAACGAGGAGTATTATTGTCCACTAACGCGTGTATCGCTTATCGATCAAATTTATAACGAAGACAATTTAGAGTTAATTTGTAATAACTTTACGATTTA